ATGAGCAAAGAAGCAAAGAAACAAAGAAACAAAGAAACAAAGACACACATGAACAAAGAAACAAAGAAGCAAAGAAGCAAACAAACAAGCGCGCAAGCATGCAAGAAAGCAGCCAGGCAATCAAGCAAACAAACAAACAAGCAAACAAACACACAATCACAAACAGACAAACAGACAAGCAAACAAACAGACAGACCAACAGGCAGACAGACAGACGGACATGCTTACAGAAACGAACAAGCAAGCGAGCGACAAAACACGCAAGAAAGCAAACAATCAAGCGCGCGCAAACAAACCTACAAACAAGCAAGAAAGGCCAAACCAAATCTAACCAAGACAGTCCACACCAAAGCAAACCAACCCACAAGAAAAACAATCCGAACAACTCAAGCAAACAAACAGACAAAAGCAAACACAAACAAAACAAACAGACAAGCAGTCAACAAAAGCAAGTTGACACAAACAAAGAAACAAACAACCAAACAGACGCACAAACGCACAAACGCACACACACACGTCACATCGCAACGCAACGGAACGCAACAAAACACAAAACAAAGCAAAGCAAAAAGCGACAACAACACAAAACAAAGAAACAAAACAAACCGCAAAACAACAACAAAACAACACAAAACAGAAAACAAAGCGCAACACAACAACACACAACAAAAAAACACAACAAAAACACAAAGCGCAACAAAACAGAACGCAACACAATAAAGCAGAACAAAACAATCAGAACAAAACAAAACAAAACACAACACAACAAAAACCACAAAGCGCAGCAAAACAGAACAAAACAAAACAACAAACGAAACAAAACAACAAGGAAACAATGAAGCAAACGAAACAAAGAAAGAAACAACCAAACAAGGAAACAAACAAACAAACACACAAACAAACAAACAAACAAGCAAGCAAGCCAGCCAGCCAGCCAGCAAGCAAGCCCACACAAACACAAACACGAACACACACACACACACACACGAACCAGCACGTACAAACAGACACGCGCACACACAAGCCCTCCCACACCCAAACACGCAAACGCAGAAGCCCGCAAACACACAAACACGCAAATGCACAAGCGCACGAACACACAAACGCACAAACGCACGCACGCACAAACACACGGGCACACGCACGCACCAAGACACAAAACGAAACGCACAACCGCACCATGCGAACGAAAGAAGCAGACTAACACAGAAGCGCAGACGAGCGCAAGCGCATAAGCGCGCAAACACACACACACAAACACAAACACACAGACACACAGACGCACGGACGCGCAAACACACAAACACACGAACACGCAAACACACCCACGCACAAACACACACTCAAGCGCACACAAACACAGAAGCAACAACCACGCACACAAACTCGCAAGGAAACACAATCAAACACACAAGCAAAGACGCAAAACAACCAAGCAAACAAACAAACAAACACAGACACAAACACACACACGAACACAAACACACACAGACACACAAACGCGCCAACACACAAACACACAGACACACGAACATGCAAACACAAACGCACAAGCACAGACACTCGCACACAAACACACAAGCAACAATCACGCAAACAAACTCGCCAGGAAACACAAGCAAACACAAGCAAACGCACAAACAAACACAAACAAACATGCAAGCAAACACGCACACAAACACACACACAGGCACACAAACAACCAAACACACAAAGACACAAACACACAAACGCACGAACGCACAAACGAACAAACACACAAACGCACACGAACAAACACACACATACACACACACTCAAGCACTGGAAACGTCACACAAACACAAGCAACACTCGCAAACAATTTCACAATCAAGCGCACTCAAACGCAGAAACAAACACACACAAACAAGCAAACAACCAAGCAAATAAACAAGAAAGCAAACACACACAACCGCAAACAATCACGCAGACAAGGAAACACAGAAGCAAACAACCGCATAAACCAAGCCAGCAAACAAACAAACAAACAAGCGAACAAACAACCCAAAACAAAAGACAAACAAACAACCAAACAAGCAAACAAGCAAAGGAGCGAGCAAACAAACACACAGACGCACACACACACACAGAAACACACGCGCGCAAACACACACACACACTCAAACTTAACCAAAACATCAAACATTCAGACAGACAAACAGATAAACAAACAATCAACCAATCAATCAAAGCCAAACAAAACCAAACGAAACCAAATAGAACCAAACAAAACCAAACAAGCCAAACAAAACCAAACAAGAACCAAACAAAACCAAATGAAGCCAAAACAAGCCACAAATCAAACAACACAACCACCTCAAACAACACAAGCAGAACACAAAAACAAACAAACAAACAAACAAACAAACAAACAAACAAACAACACACCAAGCATGCAAGCATGCAAGCATGCTAGCAAGCAAGCGAGCAAGCAAACAAAAAGACAAACAAACAAACAATCACACAAACAAACAAACAAAGCAAGCGAAGCAAACATACAAGCAAATAAACAAACAACCAACCAACCAACCAGGCAAAGAAACAAACAAGAGAGAAGGCAAGCAAATCAAACAACAACCAGCGCACCAAGCATGCGAGCAAGCAAGCAAGCAAGCAGGCAGGCAAGCAAACAATCGATCATACAAACAACAAACAAACAAACCTACAAACAACGCGAAGCAAAGCAACGCAAAGCAGAGCAAAGAAAAGCAAGCAAGCAAACAAGCAAACAAACAAGCAGGCGCATAAACAAGCAAACAATCAACGAAACAAACAATCAAGAGGGAAAGCAAGCAAAACAAACACACAAACAGCGCACCAAGCATGCAAGCAAGCAGGCAAGCAAGTAAGGAAACAAGCAAACAAACGAACAAAACAATCAAACACGCACACACACACAAACAAACAAACAAACGAACAAACAAGGAAACAAAGAAACAAACAAACAAACAGCGCTTCCTCGACCTGTAAATGCGCGAAAAGACAGGAACGTCACCGCCTTGTTTACAGTAGGTTTCGAATAGGCACCTTGGTTTTCGTTGGCAGTTCACAGGGATCGACGACCTTGCTGTTGTCAGAGTTGCTGCCACCAAAGATCCTGCCTTTTTCAAGGGCGCAGCCACAAAGAGTCTGAGCCAGCGGATGCGCTGGAGCGGGTGTGCTTATCATGTGCCAGCATGTCCGCGGCTGAGCAGAAAAACTGGTGTGCTTAGTATGTGCCAGCATGTGCGCGCTGCTGAGTGGATACGCTGGAGTGGGTGTGCTTATCATGTGCCAGCACGTGGGCGCTGCTGAGCGGACACACTGGAGCGGGCGTGCTTATCATGTGCCAGCATGTGCGCAGTGCAGAGCGGACACACTGGAGCGGGTGTGCTTATCATGTGCCAGCATGTGCGCACGGCTGAGCGGATGCACTGGAGCGGGTGTGCTTATCACGTGCCAGCGTGTGCGCAGTGCTGAGCGGACACCCTGGAGCGGGTGTGCCTATATCATGTGCCAGCATGCGCGCAGCGCTGAGCGGATGCGCTGGAGCGGGTGTGCTTGTCATGTGCCAGCATGTGCTCACGGCGAGTGGGTGTGCTGATCACGTGCCAGCATGTGCGCAGTGCCGACAGTGCTGAGCGGACACACTGGAGCGGGTGTGCTTATCGTGTGCCAGCATGTGCGCACGTCTGAGCGGATGCGCTGGAGCGGGTGCGCTTTTCATGTGCCAGCATGTGCGCAGTGCCGAGCGGACACATTGGAGCAGTGCGATGCACGTGTGCAGTGCACGCAAGTCATGAGCTGGACGTAGGCAGAAACTGTCAATTTCTATGCAAAATGTGCGTTTTGCGGCGCGGAAGGCGGACATGCTCGAAATGTGTGAAAAATCATATGACTTGAAGAGTTTTGCGTCTATGACAGTGGGGAAACCACGCGCTGGAGCGCGCGTTTGCAGGACGACGGAGCCACAAACAAACAGCCAAGCAAGCAAACAAACAATCAAACAAAGCAAGCAAACAAGCAAGCAAACAAACAAACAAGCAAACAAGCAGGCAAACAAACAAACAAACAATCAACCAAAAAAACAAGCAAAAGCAAGACAGCCAATCAAACAAGCAAGCGGGCGAGCAAGCAAGGAAACAAACAAACAAACAAAAGCAAAACAGTCAAACAAACAAGAAAGCAAGCAAACAAGCAAGCAAAGAAAGAAACAAAGAAACAAACAAGCAAACAAAGAAACAAACAAACAGACAAAAGCAAGACAGTCAAACAAGCAAGAAAGCAAGCGAGCAAGCAAGCAAAGAAAGAAACAAAGAAACAAACAAACAAAAGCAAGACAGTCCAACAGACAAGAAAGCAAGCGAGCAAGTAGCAAGCAAGCAAAGAAATACACAAAGAAACAAACAGACAAACAAAAGCAAGACAGTCCAACAGACAAGAAAGCAAGCGAGCAAGCAAGCAAAGAGATAAACAAAGAAACAAACAAACAAAAGCAAGACAGTCAAACAAACAAGAAAGCAGGCGAGCAGGCAAGCAAAGATATAAGCAAAGAAACTGAAAAGTAGCCGGCCCTCGGGAGCGCTGACCCCTTCATGCGGATCGCTCGAGGTGCTGGCAACGAACAAGAGCCCAAAAGTGGTTCCTTATTGGCCATCCCATAGCCCTTCCCGCAATGCGCGCCACAAAGAGGCAGGCGCACTTCGGCAGGACGTTGAGGGAGCCCCGTTCCTTGCATCATGGGGCACATGCTCACACCCATTTTCAAAATATCCATGGCTGCATTGTAAGGTTTGGCGAGCAGGGTTCAGGTCGAATGTGTTTCAGTCATAGGACCAAGTATCCGCATATGACCTTCTTAGAGACATTTGTGTGTGAAACACCAGAACCACAATCAAGGAGGAGAGGATCAAATCGCAAAGCCCAGAAATGCCCGGATTGAATCAGAAACAGCGGACCGACAGATTTTCAGTCTGCAGGCCAAGGAAACGCAAGCTGAGGTGAGCGTGGCAAGCACTACCTGGAGGCGCATTTCGGACCCAGCAGTGACCTCCAGTCAACGTTGGGCTCGTCTTCCAGTGAGGAAGGGCCGAGCAAGGGAGTGACCAGAGTGAGAGACCGACAGAGAACGGGAGTCAAAAAGAGAACGGTGATAGAGAGAGAGAGAGAGAGACAGAGAGAGCAAGAGAGAGCGAGAGAAAACGCCAGCGGCGCAATGGGAGAATGGAGGCACTCGCCACAGGTGACACGAAGGCATCGAGGCTTTGCGAAGCTTCCAAGTGTCAGGAGCGGGCAATGGAGGCTTTGAAGGAGCAGATTGAAGAGAGGACAGCTTGGCTGAACAACTTGGTGACGCGTGCCAGTGGGATCCTCAATGATGCACCTGGCACGTTTTAACATGTTGCATGCTGCACACACGCCAAGGTGCCAGGGCCAGGCTCAATGGCCTGCAGCTGTACTGCTGACAAGCGGTGTCGTGCGCGATGCACGCGCTGCTTTCTTCAAGCGATCGCTCAAAATTTCTCAATCTGTTCAGACATTCAAACGATTTCTGCGCGCTGCGGGCGCGAGAAATCTAATAGCGCCTCGCCCTCTCTCGGCCAGAGCCAAGCCATTCTACTTCGATGCGCGATGTCCCTTCTCAGATCTTCAGTCAAGTTGTGCACGGAGTGGCTCTGGCTGTTTGCTGCCTTGCTGCCAAAGATTATGCAGCAGGAAGCGAAATGAGCTGGTTCGATGGCTCGTGTTTTTTGCGATGAGTCGCAGATAATTTCTTCCAAGTCGTTTCCGGCTTGGTCACTTTGTGAGGCAATGTATGCCAAAGCCTGGATCAGTTTTCTGACAGACCACTCTATCAAGCCTCACAGCCTCGTGGCCTCGCGGCCTTGCGGCCTCACAGCCCGTGGCCTCGTGGCCTCACAGCCTCCCAGCCTGATAGCATTGCTTAGCAGCGCTCGTGTACAGAAGATCTTGGGAAGGAAAGATGGCTCGGCATGCAAGCGCTTGTCGCTTGCGTTGAACCTGAAGCGACTGCCAGGTGAAAAGCCATGCTCTCGTGGTCGAGCCCGGGCCCAAAAGACTGCAGACTGGAGATGTGTTGAGATGTATTGAGATCTGTTGAAGAAGTTCAGGTTCTGTGTGCAGCAGGCCGAGAACTAGTCCCATGCCCCGTGTCACTTGCTTTCCCCCAACCTAGCAATGGCAGGTGCGCGCACGCGGCCTTCCTGGTGCTGTGGCGTGCGCTTGATTCTTAGGCTCTCCTCTTGGATTTGAATAAAGTGGCTTGGAGCTTGGGAGTCTCTGAATTTATTTGAGCCTTCCGCTGGCGAGACTCATACGTCTTAGGGCCTGAGCTCCTGGCAGCACTGTGGGCGCATTGCGCCAGCGCCGGGCGCCTCAGAGCGCACCCGGAGCCCCACAGACCCGGAGCGGAGCCCCGGAGCCTCGAGCCGAGCCCCAGGAGTTGGAGCCTTTGCTTTGCAAAGGCCAGAGCGGGTTCGCGCGGCGCACGGGAGGTTTGCGCAAAGACTCCAGGCTGCTTGGCGGCTCCTTTGACGACTCTGAAGAGACCACAGGCTCCCGTAAGAGGGCGATCCCAGTGGCGTGCATTGCGCAGAGGTGCTGGCGAAGTTGGCCTTTGCAGCTCGGCTCAAGGCGAAAGGGGCGAGCGAATGAGGGGCAGAACCCGAGGAGACCTTGCGCACCTTGACGATTGCTGGCCCCGCTCCCGTGATTTGCGCTCTGCTCAAGGCGCTTCGGAGCCTGCTGTTAAAGTCTCAGGAGACTCAAAGAATCGAGCCATTGCTGACATCCTTCAGCTTCAAAGACCTCGTCTCGCAGGTGCTGCTGAAGATGGACCCGAAGACGGCCACGGAGCTGTACAACCTTGGCCTGGTGGTCGGCTCAGCTCTACTCGGCTGCTCCGCTCGCTTGCCCGCCCGCCCGTCCGCCCAGCCTGAGCTGGTGCTCGCAACTCTGGACCAGCACGGCAGCTGGCTCAAAGCCGGAGCAAAGCGAGAGAGCGAGAGAGAGAGAGAGAGAGAGAGATAGGGGGAGGGAAATGCGCCGTGGGCCTCAGGCGGCGACGTGGCGATACGCCGGCTGGCAGCTGAGGCGATGGCTTTCCATATCTGCCATTTGGGCCACATCTTGCCATATCCGTCATGCCAGGCTGTGGTGAAGACCGTTGAGTTTGGCTTCTGCCAAAGCCGGCTGCCTTCTCCGCATCTTGCCATCCTACGCAATTGACGAAGTGACTAAGGCAAGCCTGTTCAGCCGGCGTTATGCACTGGCTCGGCTGCCAAGCATCTTGCGGTCAGACCGGTCAGACGGGTCAAGGTGTGGCCTGTGTTCAGTGTCACAGCGACGGGACACGTGACATTCATCCGGCGCCGCAAAGCTCAAGCCCGGGCGTTGCCTGACTGGGCAACGGGAGGCACGGCGTTCAATGACAGTCTATTTGAATCAATGCGAACCGAACCACTGCCCTTTCTCGCTTTGCCCTGGCACTCCAGGCTCCGGGTGTCCACAGGCGAACGTCTCGCTGGGAGCGCACCATGTCCCACACCATTTTTTCCTGCTTGCTGTCTTGATTTCTGTTTGCTGTTTTGCGGGGTTTGCTACGAGCCCTGGCCAGGTCGCGTCCAAAGGGCGCCGGCCGTGATGGAAGCGTCGGCCGCCTCAGCTGCGTGTCGGGACGTGTCAGAGTCTCCCAATTCGACCGAGAGGTTGGACGTCTCAGCCATCCCCAATCTGCCCGGCTTCTCGGTCAGAGCCTTGGAACGTTCTGCCCTGCCTCTCTTGCCTTCTCTCTAGGTGCGAACCAAGAAGAAGAACTATGGCCGGTGTCACACCTTCCAAATGGTCAACGGTGTGCGCATCGAGCAGTCCGAAGGCAAAGCGGTGCCCGTTTCCTGGGCTCCAGACTCTGACACGTCACGCTTTCAGGCATGACCTTCGACAAGCCGAAGTTCGTGAAGGTCCCATTGTCTCTGGACACCAAGCGAGTGGGCCGCCGTCTTAGCTAAGTTAGTTAGCGTCTTCCCCTTTCTTTCACACGCTTTTCGTCAGGCTCCATGGGGGCTACCACGGTTCAGGAGGACTTCAAGGATCCGAAAAGCGAGAAAGCAAGTGAAAGCGAGTGAAAGCCGAAGCGAGCCGAAGCGAGCCGAAGCGAGCCGAAGCGAGCCGAAGCGAGCCGAAGCAAGTTTCGACAGTTCGATCCGAAATCGATTCGAGGAATTCTAAAAAACAATCGTGAAATTCTGAAAGGACCACGTGAAGGCCGAAGTCACTGAAGCCCCTGCCTGGGACGTGCTGGACAGGCTGGAGCCGTTTTTTAGCGTTGCAGCTGTCGGCTCATGTCAGGCACGTGCTGCGCTTCTACGGGCAGTTCCAAGAGTCAGTCGTTGAAACGAACCTGGAGAACTTCAGGCGCGATCGGGCCGCGATCGGTACGTACTACGTAGGCTTGAAAGGCTCCTTGAAAGGTGCTGGTGTGCTGGTTCGGTGGCGGTCAGGATACGGCATTGCGTCATCATGTACTACTTGGAGGAATCGACTCGAATGGAAGCGAGTCGAGGGACATACGAACCGCGGGTTCTCTCAGGATGACACCTGCCACATCACGGAGCGCAAGGTCGAGAACAGCGGGATGCCGCAAGGCGAATCTTCGAAATTCGGCCGAAAGCGTGCCGCGGGGTGGGGTACAGCCGGACTCTAAACGCTCCAGGAGACCCTTCACGTTCAGAGGGGGGAAGGGAGCTGTGGATAGATGATAATGAGTGTGTGCGTGTGTGACATGTGGACTGTGGGAATGAGGAGAAGATGAGTTCGGGTAATGTCCTTGATTCGCTCTTTGCAGCATGTTCGATTTCATGTACTTGACAAAACCAGATCGTTGAGCCTTGACAGCTCAGTGAACCAAGCAAAATTGAAACTTCCAGCGACCCGTCCCTGCAAAACGCGTGCAGTCCGGATGTATTTGGGCTCCATTCAGGGCAGCTGTTGCGGCGGCACCGCTGCCCGGGGCCGAACGGGTACCTGAACTGGGAGGACCTCAGAGTAGGAGGCAAGCCGGTCGCATGCAAGGTGCAGTTCCAGGTGCCAGATTTCATCATTTTCGAAGATTTCCAGGATGTCGCAAGCAACTTGAGCATGTCAATCAGTTTCTTCGGACTTGCAGGAAGGTTTGACATTATTCCATGTAAAAATCAGCACACTTGGCATGGCATGTCAGGAATGTTAGGCATGTCACGCACGTCAGTGACGAGTGGCTTGCTGCAGGGGAGCTTCACGTCTACGGCCGCGTGATTCAGGAGCGGCTCGCAGGGGGGGAGATGATCAGAGATGCTTCGGGTGCCGCTCGCACGACTCACGTGCCTCGCGACTCGTGCGACTCGCGACTCGCGGTTGATGCGATTCCCTTCCCAGATACTGGACTGCGATGAATGGACCCGGAACTTCTTCTCGCAGCAAGGGCAGGAGCAGGCGGGAGGAGTGGGAGGCGTGGGAGGCGTGGGAGGCGAGCCATTGAGACATTGGGAGCCCAGGAAGAGGCTTTGGAGCCCGCAATGGATTCCTTTGCCGAGACGCAGTTCGAGATCGGGGGAGGAGGACTTTGAGAAATCGAGGGCCGAATAATGCCTGAAGGCTAGGCCCGGCGAGGGCCGGCGAGGGCCGGCTAGGGCTTCGAGCCCTGGCCAGGACGCAAGAAGGTCCACCAGCCTCGCTCCTACGAGACGGCCGGGGAGCAAAGCGGGCGATCGACGCGGGAGCGAGAGTCGTGTGGAGCGCCTTGTGGAGCGCCTTGTGACGTGTACGTAGGTCTACCGGGAGCAGAGGATGGGCGGAGGTCACATCAATGCCAACATGCAGCAGAGATTTGGATGAATTCAGATGAACAATCCATTGCGATGAATCCAAGCGCTTGCATCATGCCATTGCATGCCCGTCTCACATTGCTTTCTGAGGTTCATGGAATGGGATCGCAAGGTCTGCCGCTTCTATGCAGTTTTCGATGATCTCTCAACTCCTCAGTTTGAGAGAAGGCGGAGCGTGCGGCGCGTCGGCTTTGGACTCGAATCCTCGCAACTGGACGCAGAGGCCCTTCGAAATCCTCTACTTCTTGGCGGATGACACAGTGCCGCGCCCAGAGTGAGGGGCAGCACCAGCTGACATGAGATGCATTGACGCATCGGCCGGTTTTTTGGTTGCCACTTTTCGCCAACCCTTAGCCACTCTCGGCTGATACGACAGTTCGACATGATGTTTGACTGGACTCGTTGGCAGCGAGAGAGGTGGAGATCAAGGAGAAGTACCCGCTGAACTGCGGCCGCGACCCATTCCCTATCTTCTTCCGCCGCGGCAAACTCGCGCATGGCCAGGAGAACGGTCGGCCTTGTGTCTTTCTCCGGCTCATCCTTTCTCGTTGAGCTTTTCCGATTCCTTCGTTTGTGTTCTTCCTTTGCCTTTTCCTCCTCTTTCATTTTCTTTCGCTCATCTCCTTCTTTTCTCCAGGCCAAGGTGATGGGGCCTCTGGACAGGCGCGGGAAGTTGGAAGTATTGGAAGTGGCAAGCTTCACTTGAATTCTGGTAGGGAGAGGAAGAAGGATGAGATGATCGGGCTGCAGGACTTTGAGATCGGTGGTTCTCCGGAGCTTCTTGGGCAGAGCCGCTTGGCACTAGGTGCTCGCGGCGCGGCGCTCGCATCGCGGCGCTCGTGTGGCTGTCGCCTCAGGATTTTTCATCTACGACGCAGACGCCTTCACCAGGAGACGGCGTGACGGGCGCATGGGCCATCAGATGTGGACACAGTTTGCCCAATTTGGCCTTTGCATTTCTTAACGTGAGAGGCAGTATTATGCCCAGCTGGGCATCGCGCTAGCGGAGGCCTAGCTCGCATTCTGATTTGTTTGGACTTCTGATCTGACTTGGTGTGACTCGTGTTGTTTTGGTTATATTCTGTTTTGTTTTGAATTGATTGTTTGGTCTGATTGGAATGATTGGACTGATTGGACTGATTGGAATGATTGGAATGATTGGAATGATTGGAATGATTGGAATGATTGGAATGTTTGTTTGTGATCGGATGTCGGACTGGTTGGATTGTTTGGATTGACTTGTTTGCTTGGATTTGTTTGTTTGTTTTTGATTTTGTTGATTTGGTTGGTTGTTTGGTTGTTGGTTTTGTTGGTTTTGTTGGTTTTGTTGGTTGCTTGGTTGCTTGGTTGCTTGGTTGCTTGGTTGCTTGGTTGCTTGGTTGCTTGGTTGCTTGTTTGCTTGTTTGCTTGGTTGCTTGGTTGAATGATTGCTTGGTTGGTTGCTTTCTTGCTTGATTGATTAATTGGTTGATTGATTGATTGACTGATTGACTGATTGATTGAGTGATTGAGTGATTGATTGATTGATTGATTGACTGACTGACTGACTGACTGATTGATTGATTGATTGATTGATTGATTGATTGATTGTTGAAGTGGGTTGGTTAGGTTGGTTGGTTGGTGGGTGGGTGGGTGGGTGGGTGGGTTGGTTTGGGTTAGGTTGGGTTGGGTTGGGTTGGGTTGGGTTGGTTGGTTGGCTAGTTAATTGGTTAGTGAGGTAGTCAATGAGTTAAATAGTTTTGTGTTTGATTAGTGGGTCCCGTCGATCCATTGATTGATTGAGGGTGATTGATTGATTTGTTTTGTTTTGGTTTGATTGTATTTCAAGACTTGATTGCTTGACTGCTTGATTGCTTGATTGCTTGCTTGCTTGACTGATTGAATGATTGATTGATTGATTGATTGATTGATTGGTTGGTTGGTTGGTTGATTGATTAATTGATTCATTGATTGATTTATTGATTCATTGATTCATTGATTCATTGGTTCATTGATTCATTGATTCATTGATTCATCAACGTTGCTTGGTTGCTTGGTTGCTTGGTTGCTTGGTTGCTGGGTTGCTGGGTTGCTTGGTTGCTTGGTCGCTAGGTCGCTTGGCCGCTTGGCCGCTTGGTTCGATGGTTGCATGCTTGCGTGGTTGGCTGGTTGGCTAGCTGGCTGACTGACTGGACGGATGGATGGATGGATGGATGGATGGACATGTGGATGGGTGGATGGGCTCCCTCCTTCCCTGCTTCCTTGTTTACTTCCTGAAATTCTTTTTTGCTTTGTTCCTTGCTTCCTTCCTTGCATCCTTCCTCACTTTCTCCCTTCCTTTCTCCCTTCCTTTCATATTTCTGTTTGTGCGTCCGTCCGTCCGTCCGTCCGTCCGTCCGTCCGTCCGTCCATCCATCCATCCATCCATCCATCCATTAATTTATGCATTTATCCATCCATCCGTGAATTTATCCATGCACTCATGCATTCATGCACTCATGCATTCATGCACTCATGCATTCATGCACTCATGCATTCATGCACTCATGCATTCATGCACTCATGCATTCATGCACTCATGCATTCATGCACTCATGCATTCATGCACTCATGCATTCATGCACATTTATTCATTCATGCACATTTATTCATTCATTCATTCATTCATTCATTCATTCATTCATTCATTCATTCATTCATTCATTCATTCATTCATTCATTCATTCATTCATTCATTCATGCATTCAGGCATTCAGGCATTCAGGCATTCAGGCATTCATTCATCCATCCATCCATCCATCCATCCATACATCCATCCATCCATCCATCCATCCATCCATACATCCATCCATCCATCCATCCATCCATTCATCCATGCATGCTAATATACAACATGCCTTGATAACCCTTGTGCAGCTTGCAGTCCACGTGGCAATTGCTACATATGATCAAGGCCTTGAGCCTAGCCTGCAGCATCGCGCCCAAACAAAAGGAGTGCCGCGCTGCTGGTTGGATTCACACACAGGTTTGCGTATTCAGGTTACACAGTTGCTCCAGGTTTAACATGGTAGCGGAGCAGTTACACACCTGGGAAAGATCTGGCGGCCTTTCCATACACCATGCAAGGAATGGCGGCCCAACAACAGCAACAAGAGCGACAGCATCAGCCGGAAGGAATACACAAGCACAAGATGGCACCGCCGCGACCCCCCACGAGAGCACAACATGCTTGAAGAATGGATGTACAAGATGACAGCATACTTAGGGCTGCAAGACCCCGCATACAACAGACTGCTGAGACAGTCAGAGCAATCAACAGGACAAGTTACAAACGACGAACTTGGGAACGCAGCACCTTGACAGCAGGCGGCAGAGCAATGGATACACCAGAGCAACAACCTACACTACATCTTAGTGAGCACAAGCGATGGACCAGCGTTTATACCACATGCAGACTATACATGCAAGGCAAAGGGTGGCTGACACATGCAAGGTACTCCATACCACTTGGCACAAGGAGCATTGGGTACCTTACGCGGCTGCGAAAGCCACAGCTGGATGAACAGAAGTTCGAAGAGAGCTTCGCAACATGGGAGTTTCAAGTCTCCAAGCACGAACAGGACAACAACACACTACTACCAGATGCAGTCAAGATTGCAATACTGCTCAGTGAAACAAACGGACCACTACAACAGCATCTACAGCTTCAAACTGGAAACATCACGACTTATGCGCAGATCAGATCTTTGGGCAACAGCGTCATTCACCAGGCTACAAGCAATCGCATCAAGCAACAATCAAGGACCAGCGCGGATGGACGTAGGAGCAGCGTGGTACAACCAAGGCAAAGGAAAAAATGCAAGCGCAAGGGCAAAGGAAAGTACAACAAAGGCAAAGGCCGTGGCTGCTACGGGAACAACAAACAACTACAAAGGCAAAGGCAGGCAGTGCAATCAACCGGTTGGACAAGGAAACCATTCCAAAGGACAACAAGGATTCAGCCATGGAAGAGGATACAGCAACAAAGGAAAAGGCAAAGGATACTTTAACAAGCAACAAGTAGGAACCATGCGACAAATGTCTGCTGCAGATGTAGAGGACAGCCGATGCACATGGCCAAACCACGCGGAGTGGCGATTGACAACTGCGACGCTGGCGACACCAACGATCAGACAGATGACAGGCGCAGTCAAGTTCACTATGACAGCAATTCGTACCACCAGGATCAAATACAGGCGCACCAACAGCCGCAAGCTGCCACAACCTGCAGATTCATCAGCAGTACCCATCTCAGAATTTCAAGAAGCAACGCTTCCCATGATTGGCGCAGCGCATCAACTCACAGAAGACAACAAATGGGTCGTTCTTATGATTGGCAAACTGTAGCGGACACCAGATTGTCATACCTGTGAGGTTAACAGCCAATTCTTTCAGTCGCAAGGCTGGTGGAACAAGGATGACAATCCAAGACTACGTCGCAATAAAGGGTTCAATCAGCGCACTGGAGAACTTTAGAACAGTGGCCTGTTCTTCCCACAAGCAGAAGTCGCAGCATTACCAAAAGGAACAAAGCTACAGACACACATCGCAAAGCAAGGACAGATCGGCGTGATAGCGCCAACAACAACACTTACACCACAGGGCGCAGCAGAAACAGGGTACGCAGGAGACTACTGGCAGTTCAATACACAAGGTGAAGTTGTCAGAGTACACAGACAGTACAGAAAGACACTCCTCACACCAGCAAGAACGCAGTGTCCAGTTCCGACAGAACTACTTGAGGACTACGGAACAACAACCGTAGGGTTCAACTATCACGTTTGAGGACGAGTGTCAAACAATGGATGTTCAAACAGAGCACAACAACAGCTGCGGAAAGGAGAAACAGCTTACAACAAAGACGCAGCCCAGGAGCGCGCCGCAGAAGGTCGCGCCACAAATTCGGCACAATCCGCGCACACGAAGGCAACACCACCAGCAACTGCAGCTGGACAAGGGCTTCCAAATCCTTGAGACGCACATCCTCGAGGAGACTACTGGTACAGAGGAGGCCCCTACTGGAAGAGAGTGCACGCCGAGCCACGCGCAGCGCTTTACTTACCAGAACAGACGCACGACAGGCCAGACATCAAGGCTTATCCAGATTGGTCAGCGCCTCTCTTCCAAACTCGTAGCCAAGCCTTGAACTTGTTGGACTTCTGGGTTTGCTTATCAGCCGCTTTTGCAGGCAATGGCGGCCAGCTCAGGTGTTCGCCAAGCGGGAGGTCTTTCCTGCCTAAGCCAGCCCTACGCCAACCCGAAACCAGCTTAAACCAGCCCTAAACCAACCATAAACCCTAAACCTAAACCAACCCTAAACCGACCAAGCCCCAAACCAACCCTAAAGCAACCCTAAACCAGTCCCAAGCCAGCCCTGCCACCCCCAAACCAACCCTACACCAACCCTAAGCCCAAAACCAGCCCTACAGCACAAAGTGTTCGCCCTTTCAATCTGGCATCTCAAATGAACCCCGAAAGCCAACCCGCCGGGAGCCAACCCTAAACCAACCCTAAACCAACCCTAAACCTTGCAGTTTTCTGGGTCGGACCGCCGCGCCGAACCTACAACCATAAAGCCAAAGAAGCCACTATCACTCATTCTGAAAGAGGTGGAACATGATGTTTCGGGGGTCAAGTCTTTGTCTGTGTGTTTACTCGGTTCGGTTTGGGCCTACGCGATACACCTGCGACACATGTCGCTCACTACTGCGAAAGGATAATTCGGTTCGGTTCGGTTCAGCGAGCCGTGGGCCAATGAATCAATCTACAGTGGCAAATTGCGCTTGGGGGATGGGGGCTGCCGTCAGGCGGGCTTGGTCGCGCGCCCTCACTCATTCACTGAGCTTTGTTTTGTGAAGCGGGCTTCGGGGAGCCAAAGTGTGTTTGGGGGATGCTGCCTTCCAATGGCTTTGATAGAACACTCACCCACTCATTGCTTGTCCTTGGCCATACATGAGTTTCGGGGCCCAAGCCTTGGCTCCGTTTCTGCCCGCTACAATTTGATCCTGGCTGGTCGGTGTGCCTGCTTGGTCTTCGCTTGGTGCAACGACACCTGTCTTCCCCCGCCACAGGGCCTCCGCCGCGGCAGCTCCCTAAGGCCGGCAGCGCTCCAGCGTGAGGAGCTGGAGAGGGCAGCAAGGCTTGGCGGGCACCCTGGTTGGTTGGCTCTCAATTCGCAATTGCCTGCTCAGGAGGCAGGTTGTTTCTTTACCAGTTTGCGGTAAGCCTGCAAGCCTGGAACAAAAACTGGTCTGCGAGGCCTGCGCGACCATGTGGAACGCGTGTTGTGTGACAAAACGCAGGCAGACACCAACGAAATGGTCATCGCACGCCTCGGCCCACAAGCCCCGCAACATGCGGTTTGCAACGAATCTGCACTAGGACGCCCGATCGGGGCGACTTCACGACGTAGCACTCAAGTGCTTTCTTGATTTGATTTGTGTCATTTCCTGCGAACCTTGGTACTTGGTGGACTCCCGAACTCAATCCAAAAAGCGCGTTTGATTCAACGCATGGTAGGAGGTTCTTGTTGGCGCCTCGCAGCTGTCCTCGGGCCAGGCGCGAGTTCCTGCCTTCGCCACGCAGGGGTGCGTTCCAGTGACTTTGTGGTTGCATTCCATTGTGGGAACCCATGGCAAGCGCTGTTCTTGGACACCTGTTTGCAAAAGACATTCTGGCTGGCGGCGCTCCACGACCAAAAGCCATGCCAAACGCTGTTGTTGGTTTCCCTTTCCAAACAAGTTCCCAGATGACTTTCAGGTCGCGAAGCATTGCGGGAAGCCATTGCGAGCATCGTTTTTGGCACTTTGTTTCCAAGCGAGAAGCGCTGGGTGGAGTTTGCGTTCCCGTGTGATTTGCACGCGCTGCCGAACCAAGAGTGGCAACACGCTGCTGCGTTCTGTGGGGGAAGCTCTGGGTGGGACTTTCTGGGCTGGTGGGTGGGCGGCGTTCAAGCGCGGGAAGCAGGCCGCCGTGAAAGCGGGTGAAACTTCGGGTGTTCCCTGCAACTTATCAATCAAACAGGCAACCAACTAAGCAACAATCAATCAACCAACTGGGCAAGCAAGCCACCGCCCAGCCTAAGTTTGATGACAGATTGTGGTAGTCCGGCAAGGGGCTGCGTGGAGCAATGAGTGACACACTGCTCAGCAGAACGCAGAGAGAAGAACTGCTGAGACACGCAGGCAACTCAATGTAGGAACGACGCTACACTTCCTTGGCAGGAGCGTGTCGCGCAAAGGCAACTACATCGACATCAGTCTGAACAACAACTACGTTGACATCGTCCTATGCCTGCGTGCAACCCAGCACCAGCGCCAGGAGGCTCACGCACGAAAGGTACAGCAGAAGATGAAGCGCCGCTGGACCACAAACAGCACAAACAATACTGGCGGCTTGTTGGCAAGATAAACTGGTTAGCATACACGAAACCAGACAGCAGCTATGGAGCAAAAGAAATCACTACACGCGGTTTGATAACAGCTGCCCTGCGAGGAGGACGTGCTGCAGAGCGCCTTTGAGGACAAGCCGCTCTGCGTGCCCCGGCAGCTGGCCGAGCTGCTGCAGCTGAGCGTGGAGGAGGTGTGCGCCAAGAAATTCAAGCGCATGATAAGGCACCTCAAAGGCACAAGGTACATTTGACACAACCTACGACCAAAGATGCAGATTCAGGACAAGCGAATCCCTCGCAACATCAACACATACACAGACGCCAACTGGGCATCGTGCGGGACAACAAGAAAGAGCGCGACAGAATTTGTGATACACTTCTTTGGAGCAGCAGCACTCTATGGCGGCAGAACAGAAGCAACAAGAGCATTGTCATCAGCAGATTCAGGACTGTGCGCGACTGGTGCAGCAGCACAGGAGAGTCTCTACATCAGCAGCTCCAGCAAGGAAGCGATTGAAGTTCGCACCAACATCAGAATGCACACAGGCAGCAGCGCAGCCAATTCAAGCGCAATGAGAGAAGGCGCCTCAAAGAAAGCAAAACACATCGAGCTGCGACACCTCTTCGCGCAACAACTCGTCAAGAGCAAACTCATCACAACGCACAAGGCCAAGTCAGAAGACAACTCAGCTACATACTAACAAAGGTTGTCAGCTGAGATATCAAGCTTGTTAACACGTGTTTGCTTCACTACTACTACAGCCGGCGTAGTAGCTTAGGATAGACGCATAGCCATGGAGTGACCTCTCATGTTCGCAACCATTTAATGGTTCTACATCTGGGATACTTTCTTGCGTGACATTTTGGACAGTGTTTGGTTTCAGTGTTCCATCTTTGGTTTGCCTGCACATCTGTGGTGCAGCGATCCACATCGAGCAGGTTACACCTGCGCTGGGCACGGAGGTTCGCACGAACTACGTCGGGAACGACTTCTCCGTTGCGCAGGAGCACATGCGCGTGCTTACAAGCAATGGTACAACCCGCATTGGTACATTGCCTGGATGGTTGAGGGCTCCATGCGTCTTGTTTGTAGCTTTGTTGACAAGCATCACAGACCGCGTTGCTTACATGGCACGGTTGTTCTCACCGAGCAAAAACACCTCCATCAACAAGAACATCATGCGCGTGCTCTACATGCGTTTGGGTCATTTTGAGGTGCATCGCCAGACGTTCAGCAAAGGAAATCCTCTCAATAAAAGGATGGAATGGATGGAATGATGTGGAATGGATGGAATGGATGGAGTGGATGGAATGGATGGAATGGGTGGAGTGGATGGAACGGATGGAATGGATGGAACGATGGAATGGATGGGATGGAATGGATGGGATGGAATGGATGGATGGACGGAATGGATGGAATGAATGAATGTAATTGATGTGATTGATGGAATGGATGGAACTAATGGAAGGGATTGATGAATGGATGAAGGGATGGAATGGGTGGACTGGATGGAATGGGTGGAAGGGATGGATGAATAGATGAATGGATGGAATGGGTGGAGTGGATGAATGGATGGAACTGATGGCATGGATGGAATGATGGAAGGGATGGGATGGAATGGATGGGATGGACGGAATGGATGGGATGGATGGGATGGATGGGATGGATGGGATGGATGGAATGGATGGAAGGGATGAATGGAATGAATGTGGGCTCCCCGCTTTCTAAGGTCACCGTCACAAGGATCTTTTCTGGGGTTGCGGGGTCGGCGTTCAGCGCCGGCCTCCGAACAAAGCAGCAAACTTCCAAGCTCCATCCATCGTACCCAGACCGCAGCTTCCATCAGAAAAATGGATGGAATGGATGGAATGGATGGAAATGGACGGAATGGAGGGAATGGATGGAATGGATGGAATGAATGAATGTAATTGATGTAATTGATGGAACGGATGGAATTAATGGAAGGGATGGATGAATGGATGGAATGGGTGGACTGGATGGAATGGGTGCAAGGGATAAATAAGTAAATGGATGGAATGGGTGGACTGGATGGAATGGAACTGACGGAATGACTGCATGGAATGGATGGCATTGGATGGAATGGATAGAATGTTCATTCAACAAAGGATTTGCTTCACATGTGCTACAGGTCAGCCACAGCTTCACATACACCAACGTGAGCTCTGGGCTCTGGACACCTGTGGATTCAACGTGTGATCATTGATGAACCTTCGCAGTAGTTTGAGTTGTTACATGATCGCAAATCGCAGTACAGTTGGTCATGACACCTCAACCTGGTACAGCCAACTACGCGGCATATGCGCAGGAGCGTCGCAACACGGACCTGATCTTGCAACAGCAGTCGGGCTGCTGGATGCTACGAAACTTGGCCCATAGAGGCTCGCCGCGTTTCGTGGCACATTTGAGCCGACCATGAGGGACACATGCCTGTAGCAGCGCGCCAAAGCAGGAACAGGCCATCCGCGCAGTTGTTCGGACTTAGTGATATGCCTGCTTCACTGCCAAGCTCACAAGCGTTACAGGAGTTGCGCAGCGCATCTGCATATCCGGCGTTACATGTCAAAGTGTATTGGTCCCAGTACAACTTGAGGGCGCGTGTTAATACACAACATGCATTGACAACCCTTGCAGAACACGTGGCGCTTGCTACATGTGATCAAGGCCTGCCTAGCCTACAGCATCACGTCCAGACAAAAGGAGCGCTGCGCCGGTTTGATTCACACGCACAGGTATGCGCCCAAGCTTAACAAGTCGTCTATTCATCCCATTCATCCCACTCATCCCAATCACTCCGTTCATCGTGTGCGTCCCATGTATTCACTCCATTCATTCCATTGCTTCCATTGATTCCATTCATTAGGCAAAAGAGCCCTGCTCTTCGGACCTTGCAGGGCACTCATGCGTTCATTCATTCATTCATTCATTCATTCATTCATTCATTCATTCATTCGTTCGTTCGTTCGTTCGTTCGTTCGTTCGTTCGTTCATTCATTCATCCACTCACTCACTCACTCACTCACTCAATCACTCACTCACTCAATCACTCACTCACTCACTCACTCGTTGGTTGGTTGGTTGGTTGGTTGGTTGGTTGGTCGGTTGGTTGGTTGGTTGGTTGGTTGGTTGGTTGGTTGGTTGGTTGCATGGATTGATTATTTTGCTTGGATTGATTGGATTGAGTCGACTCATTTGATTGGTTTTTTGGGTTGGTTTGGATGGTCTGACTGGTTCTATTGATTGGATTCTTTGGACTGCGTGGCTTGTTCTGTTTTGTTGGCTGGCTGGCTGGCTGACTGACGAGGCTGTGGATGTCCGGCTGCCAGAGCGCACCGTACCGCGACCAAAGACGCCGCCATACACAGGCGCCTAGAACGAATGGGGGCGCGCTTGACCCCGGCTCGGGGTGTCGCTTTGTTGGAGCTTGCGTTTAGGCTACGGAACTTGGGATGACTCGATGGGCTCCGTGCACACCTTGATGCCGAAGCCACCAAAGAGCTTTGGCGGCACCCAGCAAAGGCTTTGCGGCATGGTAAAGGCCAACCTGTCAGGAAGGACCAGGTGAAGCTCTTCGAGCACGAGGGCAAGATCCTGCGCTTCACCGCGCAGATCTACAAAGCCAAGCCTGAGGATGCCGACAGATGCTTGGCAAAGCTGCGGGGCAACGTACATCTTGTGCTGGCCCAAAAGCAGCTAGGCAGCCAGGCCCGGCAGCAAATCAGCAAGTAAGCAACAGAAAGCCATCCAGCAATCAATCCAGCAAACCTTCAACCAGCCAGTCAAAAAGCAGCGAGCCACGGAGCCAGCAAAGCGGCAAACTCAGCTGAGGACTGTTCATTTTGAACTATCATGTCTTCGACGACACCTTATCCATCCACGAACCTCCTCAAAGAAACATGGGCATCTTGCCCCAAGATGCATGGTGGGTGCTTCTGAGTCGGCACAGATGTGCTTTGCGCGGCCACATCAATCAGCTGGGTCAGGCATCATGACTGGCAAGTTCCTGGAGAAGGGAATCCACCTCAATCAGGACTGCAGCAGGGGGTTGCCGCGAGTCAGCCCATGCTGCCCAGGAGACGGGTCGCTTGTTCCAGATGGAGGACTTTTTGCCAGGCAAGATCATCAAGGTCTACAACCGACGCTCGCACGGAAGCAGACAGAGAGAGGATGCACTCTATGCGTGCGGGACAATGTTGCAACTGCAGCAACACGTGAGCTTAGGAGAGTTTGAAATTCTCGACATGGACGAGTACACCAGGCCTCTGTCGTTTGAGGGGCATACCGCCACAGCCTAGCAAGGGAATTCGAAATTAAGGGCTGTCGCCGTCTCCGGCCGACCTAGAATGTGGAACATGTCCGTTGTTGATTCGGAGGCACCGGGATGGTTAGGCTGAGTATGTTTAGGTTGTGTGCTGCGTGTTTGTTTTGGTGGCTCGATGTTCAAAGAATCATGGTGACCATGACAGGTTTTGGGTAACGACACATCTTGGGCAACCGCGCTAGACTTTTTCAGCAACCACGACACGGTGACGGAAATGACATGGACACAACTGGAAATGAAGGGAAATGGACAGGAATGGACAGGAATGGCCGGGAGTGGACGCAAATGAAAGGGGAATGAAAAAGAGACGGAAATGAAGGGAAATGAGCGGGAATGGACGGGAATGGACAGGGGTGAAAGGGGAATAAATGAATTGAACTGGACGGACATGGACAGGAATGAAAGAAATGAAAGGGACACGGAAATGAAAGGGACATGGAGGGGAATGGATGGATGTGGACGGTACTTGAGGAGAACGACGGGAGTGAACGGGAATGAAAGGGGAATAAAAGGGAGAGAGAAATGAAGTGGAAATGAAGGGAAAGGGACGCGAGTGAGAAGGGAAATAAAACGGAAACGAAATGCATGAACTGGAAATGAACCCGACAATGAAGGGACATGGACAGGAATGGACGGGAATGAACGGGAGTGGACGGGAATGAAAGGGGAGTTAAAGTGAAATGAAAGGGAAATGAAAGGGAATTGAAAGGGAATGGACCGGACATGAAAGGCAAATGCAAGGGAAATGCAAGGGACATGAAAGGGACATGGGAATGGACGGGAAATGAAAGGGAAATGGATGGGAGTGGACGAGAATGAAAGGGAAATGAAAGGGAAGAAAGGGATGTAGACGGTGAAATGAAAGGGCTGAATGGGACATGTCTTGGAAATGCAAGAGAATTGAAAGGGACATGAAATGGATATGAAATGGAAATGAAGGGCAGTGAGCGGGAATTGACGGGAATGAAAGTGAATAAGCGGGACGGACATGAATTGGACATGACATGACACGGAAATAAAATGGAAATTAAGGTAAATGGACAGGAATGGACAGGAGTGGACGGCAATGAAAGGGACATGAACGGGAAACGAACACTCCCGTCCATTCCCTCACCCGTCCAAACCGTCCCTTCCTCGTCCATTCCCGTCCATTCCCCGTTCATTTCCCGTCCATTTCCTGTAATTTTCCATCCATGTGCCGTCCATTTGCCTTCCATTTCGTTTTGTACTTTTTTGTTGACTTTGACTGACATTTTCTGGCGTGATTCCTGCCAAGCGTTAGCGTGGGAATCGAAGTAGCCTAGCGTGATTGCCACGCTGTCTCTTACCTTGGCTGAGGTCGCCTCTTTTGCAGACCCAGGACTCCTGAAGAAACTCCTGAATTGTTGAGTGTTCAGGGCTGCTTCGATGAGACGGTTGGATTTCACACGCTCTCAGACCACCTGTTTTATTTGCGGAACTCGCGACACAGCAAGGCAGTACAGGAACATGAAAAAGGTTCCACTTTGCTGAGTTGAGTTTGATTTCTGGCCTCGGTTGGTTCCAGCAGAAAGAGCCCGGCAACAAGCGCATGAACGACCACAACTCAGAACTTCAATCAGTGCAAAGTGCGTTCGGGCAAGTTCTGGAAAGGGCATGATTAAACAAATTAAACAAGCGCATATCGCAGCAAAAACATAGCTTGAATGTCACCGGCGAAGTTGATCGTGTTTTCAGGGCTCCCGGTTCCTCGGGCTCGTCTCTTTCAGTTTGTTGCATTGGGCTTACGCGCGGATTTCAGTTTTAGCTTGTGTCGCGATTTCCTTTTGCCGTGTGTTGCCATCTACTGCGCCTGGCTCTTTCGCTGTTTCGCCACTGCGTTGTGTAATTATGCACTTTTTCAAGTTCGGCTTTTGGATGTGTTTTCTGTAGAGTTCTCACTTACCCTCGTTTTGGAAAGACAACGCCTTTGTGTTTTTGCTGGCAATGAACAAGTTTGGTTGCGTCTTCTTGTTGTACCGGCGGCTGCTTTTGGGGACCCTTTTTGACCGGTTTTTTCAACCCCCCACCCTTCTGGGCGAAAAACGTTCTAGGAGCCTGTTCTGCCGACCCGCGTGCCTGCCGTGCTTTCTTGGCCCGACTTTCTTCTTGGTTTGACTTCAACCACTATAAAAGGGGGCCCCCGCGCAAAAGGCAGACCCACATGTTTCTCAAGCTGGTTTGAACATCAGCTGCCAAGTTTAAGTGAGTTTTCCTTTGGTGGGGTGATAGGCTGCGAGGCTTGGCGAAAACCGGTTCTGCCGACCCGTGCGCCTGCCGTGCTTTGTTGGCCCGACTTTCTTCTTGGTTTGACTTCAACCACTATAAAAGGGGGCACCCGCGCAAAACACAGACCCACATGTTTCTCAAGCTGTTTTGAACATCAGCTGCCAAGTTTAAGTGAGTTTTCCTTTGGTGGGGTGATAAGCTACGAGGCTTGGCGAAAACCGGGTCTGCCGACCCGCGTGCCTGCCGTGCTTTCTTGGCCCGACTTTCTTCTTGATTTGACTTCAACACCACTATAAAAGGGGGCGCCCGCGCAAAAGACAGACCAATTTTTTCAAGGTGGTTTGAACATCAGCTGCCAAGTTTAAGTGAGTTTTCCTTTGGTGGGGTGATAGGCTGCGAGGCTTGGCGAAAACCGGTTCTGCCGACCCGCGTGCCTGCCGTGCTTTCTTGGCCCGACTTTCTTCTTGGTTTGACTTCAACACCACTATAAAAGGGGGCACCTGCGTAAAAGACAGACCCACATGTTTCTCAAGCTGGTTTGAACATCAGCTGCCAAGTTTAAGTGAGTTTTCCTTTGGTGGGGTGATAGGCTGCGAGGCTTGGCGAACTGGCCCGACTTTCTTCTTGGTTTGACTTCAACATCTTTATAATGGGGGGCACCCGCGCAAAAGACAGACCCACATGTTTCTCAAGCTGGTTTGAACATCAGCTGCCAAGTTTAAGTGAGTTTTCCTTTGGTGGGGTGATAGGCTGCGAGGCTTGGCGAAAACCGGTTCTGCCGACCCGCGTGCCTGCCGTGCTTTCTTGGCCCGACTTTCTTCTGGGTTTGGCTTCAACACCACTATAAAAGGGGGCACCCGAGCAAAAGACAGACCCACATGTTTCTCAAGCTGGTTTGAACATCAGCTGCCAAGTTTAAGTGAGTTTTGCTTTGGTGGGGTGATAGACTGCGAGGCTTGGCGAAAACCGGTTCTGCCGACCCGCGTGCCTGCTGTGCTTTCTTGGCCCGACTTTCTTCTTGGTTTGACTTCAACACCACTATAGAAGGGGGCACCCGCGCAAAAGACAGACCCACATGTTTCTCAAGCTGGTTTGAACATCAGCTGCCAAGTGTAAGTGAGTTTTCCTTTGGTGGGGTGATAGGCTGCGAGGCTTGGCGAAAACGGGTTCTGCCGACCCACGTGCCTGCCGTGCTTTCTTGGCCCGACTTTCTTCTTGGTTTGACTTCAACACCACCATAAAAGGGGGCGCTCGCGCAAAAGACAGACCCCACATAATTCTCAAGCTAACAAGCTGGTTTGAACATCAGCTGCCAAGTTTAAGTGAGTTTTCCTTTGGTGGGGTGATAGCCTGCGAGGCTTGGCGAAAACCGGTTCTGCCCCGTGTGCCTGCCGTGCTTTCTTGGCCCGACTTTCTTCAACACCACTATAAAAGGGGGCACCCGCGCAAAAGACAGACCCACATGTTTCTCAAGCTGGTTTGAACATCAGCTGCCAAGTTTAAGTGAGTTTTCCTTTGGTGGGGTGATAGGCTGCGAGGCTTGGCGAAAACCGGTTCTGCCGACCCACGTGCCTGCCGTGCTTTCTTGGCCCGACTTTCTTCTTGGTTTGACTTCAACACCACTATAAAAGGGGGCACCCGCGCAAAAGACAGACCCACATATTTCTCAAGCTACCAAGCTGGTTTGAACATCAGCTGCCAAGTTTAAGTGAGTTTTCCTTTAGTGGGGTGATAGCTGCGAGGCTTGGCGAAAACCTGTTCTGCCGACCCGTGTGCCTGCCGTGCTTTCTTGGCCCGACTTTCTTCTTGGTTTGACTTCAACACCGCTATAAAAGGGGGCACCCGCGCAAAAGACAGACCCACATGTTTCTCAAGCTGGTTTGAACATCAGCTGCCAAGTTTAAGTGAGTTTTCCTTTGGTGGGGTGATAGGCTGCGAGGCTTGGCAAAAACCGGTTCTGCCGACCCGCGTGCCTGCCGTGCTTTCTTGGCTCGACTTTCTTCTTGGTTTGACTTCAACACCACTGTAAAACGGGGCACCCGCGCAAAAGACAGACCCACGGTTTGAACATCAGCTGCCAAGTTTAAGTGAGTTTTCCTTTGGTGGGGTGATAAGCTGCGAGGCTTGGCGAAAACCGGTTCTGCCGACCCGCGTGCCTGCCGTGCTTTCTTGGCCCGACTTTCTTCTTGATTTGACTTCAACACCACTATAAAAGGGGGCGCCCGCGCAAAAGACAGACCCACATGTTTCTCAAGCTGGTTTGAACATCAGCTGCCAAGTTTAAGTGAGTTTTCCTTTGGTGGGGTGATAGGCTGCGAGCCTTGGTGAAAACCGGTTCTGCCAACCCGCATGCGTGCCGTGCTTTCTCGGCCCGACTTTCTTCTTGGTTTGACTTCAACACCACTATAAAAGGGGGCACCCGCGCAAAAGACAGACCCACATGTTTCTCAAGCTGGTTTGAACATCAGCTGCCAAGTTTAAGTGAGTTTTCCTTTGGTGAGGTGATAGGCTGCGAGGCTTGGCGAAAACCGGTTCTGCTGACCCGCGTGCCTGCCGTGCTTTCTTGGACCGACTTTCTTCTTGGTTTGACTTCAACACCACTACAAAAGGGGGCACCGCGCGCAAAAAAGACAGACCACAATGTTTTCTCAAGTCGGTTTTAAACATCAGCTGCCAAGTTTATAAGTGAG